TGCTCATCTGGCCATTGTCTTGCATCTCCTCTCTGCCCCCTTTCAGTTGGCTAGTGCCCTGGGGGACACTAGCAGGGAGCAGTACCTACCCTCAAGCTCCTGTATGGGGAGTACAATAGGGGGTGAGCATACAAGGAGTCTTCCCCCCCACCTTTATGTGTATATGCAAGGGACAGGCACAGCCCGAGCCGATACTGGAACAACCATCTTCCCAACCCATCTTTAAATCACTCCCGAAAACTCATTTCTTACCATTAAGCTTCACTTTTCTCCCACCCTGTCTGCTCCCAGTCTTGCTCCTGATTGTTCAGTGTTTGCCTGGTGTTTGCTTAAATTAGACTGCAAACTCTGGGGTAGGGAATGTGTTTTTAAAGTGCCATGGACATCTGTGTCTCTAAGTGAATAATCAATAATCTACACTGAATGTGGCAGTGGCTTGGCAGTGTCCATCATGAAGGCTTTAGACAGCAGGGGAGCTCTGCCTGCCTCGGCACTGACAGATAAAGAACCGAGCTTCACTGAGAGGAATGGAGTTACTGTGGAAAGTACTGACCTTGCTTTGTTAGCGTGACACAGAATCACCATGGGACATGGCTTATTGAAGGGTTGGAAATTCCTGTAGGTGCTATTGCCCCATTTTACCATGGGGGATGCCATGGCATCTTCTTACAGTGGGAGGCGGGATTCTGTGGCCTCTTATGATGTGAGGTTGGGGGCTGCCATGGCCTAGTTTTGCCAGCAGCCTGTGTCCCTTCCTGCTCTACCATTTTGACAGTGTGTCCCAAAGAATTCAGAAGCTCCTTTGACATAAGAACGGCCATGCTGGGTCAGACCAATGGTCTATCTAGCCCAGTATCCTTTCTCCCAATAGTGGCCAGTGCCAGATACTTCAAGAGGGAATAAACAGAACAGGACAATTATTGAGTGATCCATCCCCTGCTGTCCAGTCCCAGCTTCTGGCGATCAGAGGTTTAGAGACACCCAGAGCATGGGGTTGCGTCCCTGACCATCGTGGCTAATTGCCCTTGATGGGCCTATCATCCATCAACTTATCTAGTTCTTTTTTGAACCCAGTTATACTTTTGACTTTCACAACATCTCCAGCTCCTCCTTTGGCGCCACTCTCCTGCCTAACATCCCAGAGCACGCTCACCACCAGCAGGTCATTGAAGAGGAACACTTCCCTCTGATGAGCAGCCTGCTTCTGCATTTTATTCACATCCGTCACCTCGTAAAGGCGGCTGCAGCAGACCAGCCGGCGATGTGGCACAGACAGAACCTGCAAGGCCCAAGAGAGAAGTTAAGTGGGAAATGTTCTCACCATTCTCCCAACCCAAATGATTCAGTGTCACCTCTAGCTACTCAAACCTTCATGCAATGGCACCAGCTCTGCCCACCTGCATCCTACTCCTCATCATCACTTTCCCCGCATGCCACAGCAAGAACTGGCCCACACCCTTCGACTCTGAGGAACCCGAAGGAGTGGTGGGGGCAGGCAGTCACTGGAAGCCCTCTTGTTATTGAATCAGATCACCACATGTCTGGCTTACAGGGATCGTGGGTGGCTGCTTACCCTCTTCAGCATCCTGCCATCACCCCAGCTGCGGGTTTGTAACTTTCTGACCCTCTGGAGATTATTTCACACAGTTCAGGTCAACGGTATGTTTTTGCGTTACTCATTAGTCCCGGCCAAGGAAACCATTGGTGTTCTCTTAACCCTGGCACTCCTCAGGGAGCTCCTGGGAGAGCTGGCTGAGATCACTTTCTATCAGACTTTTCCTATGTCCTCACAAAACCTGAAAGAGAGTCTGAAGCACTGCAGTGTCTCTCCGAGGTGTCAGCAGGCAGAGCCTGTGATAAGACTCTTGGCTAGAGGATGAGTGAACCAGCTAAGACAAATTCTGGCTAAGGGAGCTCCAAAACCATTAAGAAAGAATGAGATTGCAAGAAAGAGGGGAGTCCAAGAAAAGGGAGCAAATGTTAAAGGACAGAAGGGAGTGGAAGGAGAGAAAGAAGGGACTATGGGAAAGAGTTGAATGGAGAAGGAAGGATGCAACTGCAACAGAAGGCGGGGTAGAGGAGGAGACGAGAGGAGATTACAGGAGCTAGGGAAGTAGAGGTGAGAAGAATAGAGCAGAGGTTAAGAACTCACTGTTTTCATCCCTACGATGGATTTCTCCACCTTGGTGACATAGGTTACATGATCCTCATTGGATTTGAGCTCTTTCTGTTGGATCCTCTCATAGATCCCCACTACCAGCTCCCGGGGAATGTCAGCGCCGTCGTCCACCCCTGAAAAGCACAGAGAATGTAGAGCAGGCGAGGCAGAGAGCAAGGAAAGAGCCGACAGTCCTCAGCATGCACCGATTGCCTCCTTTACAGAGTGTGTCTAGGCAGTGTGGGGGAGATGGGGAGGAAGCAATAATCTCTCGGTATAATATACTGCCTTCTCTGCTGATATAATGATATAATCAGGAGGATGCAAAGGATTTCATTATGCCACCTCTTTGCATGCTGGCTTCTTTCCACGTGTTCCCTGCCATTTTATAGTCACACTTTCATATTTATAGATCTTGGGCCACTCAGCAATAAAACCTGCATTGATTTCATATAACCAGCGACTTTAGAGATGGAAGAGACCTATTAGGAGATCCAGCCCATTCCCCTGCCAATGCAGGATCGTGGCTCAATTGTACCTTTACTAGTTGCTTGGTCTGGTCTAGTTGTAAGTGTCCCCAGTAGCGGGGCTTCAACCACTTCCCTTCAAGATTAAGAAATGATGTATTTGTGGATCATGGTTAAATGACAACTAAAGTGAGACTCAAGATAAGAGAAGGCAGGTGTGGCTAGCAAGGGGGAGGGGGCTGAGGATAGGCAGTTGGAGGGAATAGCATGCAAGTAAGGAAGGGGAGATTTAGGCTATCCGGACATCTTGTCC